CCCAGGAAGGCCAGGTTTCTGTAGTTCTCTAACATCACATTCCTATATAAATTCTGCTGTGCAGTGTCCAGGCATTGCCACTCCTCCAGAGAGAATTCTATGGCCACATCCCTAAATGTCAACAGTCCCTGGAAAACAAACATAAACACAAATATTTACAAAGTGGCTCTTGGCAGAATTTTTTATTTTATTCAAGGTAAAATGAGAAAATGAATAGAATTGGTTCTGACTTATAAGAGTGGTTGAAATTATCCAATGAAATAACACAGAAACGTTTTGTAACATATTCTTTAACTCTGAGAAAAGAGAGTGGCAAAATATCCACAACATCAGTGCAGATATGATACTTGTCTAAATGATAAAGTATAAAATTGAAGGCATAAACACTCACATGTACATTTTTAGTGCTACGTTTACATAATACAGAATGAGTTGTGTATATTTTTTCAGATAAAAAAGACATACTTGTTTATATTTTTCAGACAAAATAGACATGTTGAGTTAGAAGGTGCCACTCAAATTTTAATGTGTACAATAAACTGGACATCTTGTAAATGCAGAGTATTTTTTCAGGTGATATGAAATAAAGTCTGAGTTACTGATTTCTTCTAACAAGCTCACCAGTAATGCCAATGTTTTGGCCCCAAAAGACTATTTTGTCAAACGTCCAGTAAATGGAACAGCCTGTGTTTTTCTCAGTTTTTCTGGCTTGTAAAGAAAGATGAGAGCTCTCATTTACCAAAGAAAAATAAACACAAAGAAAATCTTAAAAAAAAAAAGGGGGGGGGCAGCTGCCAGATTAAATGTAATGGTTTACGCATATCATCTGCATAAAGATACTTAATAATGAGGAGAAAAATAACCATATAGTGAAAAAATATTTAAGAAAGCTTATTAAGCAAGTGAGTTATTAACATCAACTGCACTAGGACAAGTTTTGATGGTGTACTAATGCTCCTAGAAGAACACAGCATCACTACTGATACATTGCTCCCACTAAAGTAAATTAGTCTAAATTTAATCATAGGAAAACATTAGTTTTGTGGAAAGTTCAAGACACAGATATCCGTGTGCTACACTTCTTTTTCTTTTTCCTTTTCTTTTTTATTTATTTTTTTTAAACAGGATTTTACTCTTGTAGCCTAGACTGAAGTACAATAGGGTGATCCCGGCTCACTGGGTTCACCAATCACTTGAACCAACTCCTGGGTTCAAGTAATTCTCTTGCTAGTCCTCTTGAGTAGCTGGGATTATAGGTGCCCACCACCATGCCCAAATAATTTTTGTATTTTTAGTAGAGATAGGATTTCGCCATGTTTGCCAGGCTGGTCTCAAACTCAGGACCTCAGGTGATCCCCCCACCCTGGCCTCCCAAAGTGCTGGGATTACAGGCATGAGCCACCATGCCCGGCCGTTCTACACTTTTTAACAGTGATTTTATGTAGTCTTTTTTTAGCATCCTAATAAGCAGGTGTTTCCTGATAATTTTTTCAGAACTTTCTGTGTAATAAATGCCATCCTCTTTAAATGAGCATTTTCTTAATCGTGTAATATATAGAGATAATAAAGAAAACAGATTGAACCTCAACATTACATCTTCTCCATCTTTACTAAGAAACCCAGGTTTTCCCCATAGAAATAGAGTTATCCACACCTTTTTCCCTGTTCAACAGCCACAAAGAGAAAATTCTTAATACTGCAAGATCACAAATTCATGGTGAGAATTCTGCATGGCATATAAGAAGCCATGATGTAGAGAAGGCTCTGGTATATAGAAAAATATTTTTTGGAGATTCTTCACTATCATAAGCATTTTTAAAAGTAGTTAAGACAAACTCATTAGGGAGAAAAAAACACAGGTATAGAAGTAAAGATTCGCCAGTACTAAATGCATGGCATTCCACAAGGCAGAGCGGACACAGCTCTTGATCTGAGATATGTTTAGATGAAGAAATGCCATTTCTTTTCTTTCTCCTCCTCCAGAATTCTTTCTCAGATGAGATTTTCAGGACTAATTACACCTGCATCTGAAAATATGCCTTTAAAAATTTGAGCACCATGTGTTTACCTGTTACCACCACACCCAAAGGCAGAAAGGCCTAAGACAGAAAAACTCTACCCATTTGTGTCCTTTATAACAGAAAAGATGCAGGGACAATGAGCTGCTCCACAGAGTTAAAAATATAAGCTTCTCTTTTTTTGTCTCAGGTACCCTCCCCTGCTACAGACATCGACAATTTCTGCTACAGTAATAGAAATATTGGCCACACTGTCCTGTCCTCACCAAACCCAAACAGAACAGGTTCCTGGACCACCCTTTAGTGCAAAGGCAGAACTGAACTCTCATGGATGTATCTTGAACTCCTCATATTTGATTCTGGCACCTTAGTCACCTGAGGCACTTAATTAAAACAAATAGATGCTTTCACCAAAAACATTAAACAGAAACTGTGAAAAGGGCACAAGGGAGTTCCGCAAACTGACCATGTGATTCTAATTAGAAGCCTGGGTTTGCAACCACTTACCTAAGCACTGACACTCAAGCTTGAATGAGCTTATATATATAAATCACTTGGTAAACTTAGCCCCACTCTATGTAATGTGATTCTGTAGGTTTGGAAAGGGTCCATGAACGGGTGTTCTAAACACCTCCCTGTCAGTGCTGATGTCACTTTTTCTGGGCTCATTATTAGCATTAGTTAGAATAATGAGACACAGAATAAAGTCCCTTACACTCGGCACTCTTGTCACAACACAAATACTTCTGATACAAATGAATACAACCACTCTCTATCTTAAAGTATTATATTATTTGCTGGCTCTTTAAAGTTTAAAGAGAAAACAGAAAATAGCAATTGCTGAGTTAACTCGCCGTTTGGAAAACAACATGTGCACATGTACTAATGCAATGTTTATTAAGCAGGTACTATGTGCACAATAGGATGCTACAGAGCACTCTGATAACCCATTGTTTGATTTAATTCTAATAACACCCTATGAGTTGATACTAAGTGTTAAATAATTCCAAGAATTTAGAATAAAAACCCAGTATTTTTACTTTTTCTTCTGTTTATCACTTCATTTTTTTTAAATGCATAGAATAAACTCTAAATATAAACAGATGAGGATACAGATAAGAGTTTAATGTAACTTAGATAAATTTATATTGTATTATATTTACTGCTTTGTGACTTGTGAATCAACTACTATATCTGCAGGAATGAAAAACAAGTTGCTAAATGGAACATCTCTGCAAATACTGGTTTTAATAAAAAATTAAGACACTATTCTACATATTTTACATTTTCCATTTATCTGTTTTTGGGTTTTAGAAAATTGTGAGCACCAACTCTAAAAAGGCAACAGGATTCATCACCCAAAACTCTGATATCTGCTAGTTAGTTCTGTGAGGCAAAACTCCAGGGTAGAGCCAGACCTAAGTAAGGCCTTCAAAACGGATGAATCTGAACAGGACTGGGGCAGGCTGATGTAAAATTCTATTCTTTATGCACTGGGGAGTACTTTTAGTTCTGTTTCTTTTTTTTTTTTTATAATAGAGACGGGGGTTTCATCATGTTGGTCAGGCTGGTCTTGAACTCCTGACCTCAGGTGATCCACCTGCCTCCACCTCCCAAAGCGCTGAGATTACAGGCTTGAGCCACTATGCCCGGTCTTCTATTTCTTTTTTTAAGCTTACCAAAAAAAAAAAAAAATTCAATTTCAGAGCTTGTGTAATTTTAATCTTTTTTAGCCCCACTGCCCTCTCAATTTTAAAATACATACTAATAAACAATTTTTTAAATTGTTTTAGGTTTTATAGAATAATTTTTAAATTATTCTATAAATAATTCTATAAAAAGGTTTTATAGAATAATTTTTTTAGAAGTATTTTTAGCAAGGCATAAAAAATACAAATAGGCCAGGTGAGGTGGCTAACGATTGTAATCCCAGCACTTTGGGAGACCAAGGTGGGCAAATCACGAGGTCAGGAGTTTGAAACCAGCCTGGCCAACATAGTGAAATCCCATCTTTAGTAAAAATACAAAAATTAGCCAGGTATGTGGCATGCATCTGTATTCCTAGCTACTCAGTAGCCCCAGGTAGGAGAATCCCTTAAACCCGGGAGCTGGAGGCTGCAGTGAGCCAAGACCATGCCATTGCACTCCAAGCCTGGGCGACAGAGTGAGACTTCGTCTCAAAAAACAACAACAACAACAAAAAAAAACTCTTTTGTTTATTAATATACATTCAGGTGTAGGTTATCAGAAATCACAACAATATAAAGGCCCAAATAAAACCCATACTTTTGCACACATTTATTGTACCCACCATATGATACATAACTAAACCAGTTATCAAGTTGCTATTCTACAGTAAAAGTTCTTGCATGGTAGGGACTATGACTGTGTCATCTATTTTTCTAATGACTGTATGAAATGGAAGCAATTAGTTTATCTGTTTGAGGCTCCAGACCTCCTCCTTGTTTTTCACCCAAGTACGAGGGAACTGAAGAAACTCTCATCTGGGTACCAAGCAAAGACATCTCTTGTATGAGGGAAGGAGCAAACAAAGGATGACTCATTTGTTTTACACTAAGACAGAAGCAAAATTAACCACTCTTGTCAGCTTGACAAAATTCTGCTCTGGAGATTCTCAAAAGATTTAAAGACGCATAGGTGATTGGGAGAGCATTTCCAATGACCCTGGGCTGGATGGTGGTCTAATACTAAGGCAGCAAGAGAGACTCAGGTTGATTCTAAGTAGAAAATCGGACTACCCAGCCGGGCATGCTAGCTCACGCCTATAATCCCAGCACTTTGGGAGGCCAAGGCGGTGGATCACGAGGTCAAGAGATCGAGACCATCCTGGTCAACATGGTGAAACCCCGTCTCTACTAAAAATACAAAAATTAGCTGGGCATGGTGGTGCGCGCCTGTAGTCCCAGCTACTCGGGAGGCTGAGGCAGGAGAATTGCCTGAACCCAGGAGGTGGAGGTTGCGGTGAGCCGAGATCGCGCCATTGCACTCCAGCCTGGGTAACAAGAGCGAAACTCCGCCTCAAAAAAAAAAAGAAAATGGAACTACCTTGGTGGAGCTCCAGACCCTGGATCACCTTCCTGATTAGCTAG